TCTATGTACCCCCTCTGATAACTAAATCAAATGGAAATGACATTAAGAAGCTTTCTTTCTTTCTTTATTTTCACAATGAAAACTGAGACTCTTAACGATTTTCTAACAGTCATTCATTTAGTGCTAGTCAGCTCTCATCCTGCATGGTTGCAGAACTGCTGACAGTTTTATAAGATTTATCTTATTTGATAGTTTCAAAATATGAGATTTGTGACAAGAAACTGCTACATGATTTAAAACATTTAATACTGTAATGGCTTGGAAGCTTACATCAGACTAGTGTGGTTTCCACAAGGGACAGGATTATGTGGTCTCCCTGTTGCTGTTGCAGCTGCTGATGCAACACAAGAACTTCCACAGGGCCGCTTTCCCTGCAGTTTCCCCATCCCAGTCCACCAGAAGAGGCCATTGGCTAACCCCCCTCTCTTGGGTGACTGGGACTTTTTCAGTTTCTTTTAAAACCTAGCAGTCTGATATCATTACAGCAATATACCATTATAACAATAACAAGTTCTGTGAATTCCAAGCTTTTATTTTTTTAAAAAGTCTCTAACCTGTTCCATTGCAAATTGAGCTAGTTTGCTTAACAGAAACATGGCTGGTGAAAAAGGACACGGTATGTCTGCCCCAACTATTGTCCCCTGGTTATGCTGTCCTCTACCAACCTCATACAACTGGCTGAGCAGGAGGTGTGGCTATTATCTTCCACAGACTTCCAGTGAAAACTATCACTGGCACTGACTGTATGCTTCTTACACCAGGGGCGAAAGGAATATTGCGCTTTCACACATGCTAAATAATGCAGTTTCAATCCACTTCAGTGACCATTTGCAAGTGGTTTTTGCCATTTCACACAGTAAAATCCAGTTGCAAAGTGCATTGAAAGTGGATTGAATGTGCGTTATTTAGTGTGTCTAAAAGAGCATAATCATTTTTTTTTCTACCAGCCACAGTTCCCCAGCAGGCACCCTTTATGAACTGACAGCAGATACTGTCGGATGTGGTATTGTAGATTCGTTTAATGATCGTTCTGGGGGACTTCAATATCCATGCTAAGGATCCCTTGCCAGGGCCAGCTCAGGACTTTATAGTCTCTCTGACTGCCTTGGACCTCCATCAAATTGTGTTGGGCCTAACACCTGAAAGAAGTCACACATTGGATTTAATTTTTTGCACTGAGTAACTGAGGGAAGGTCTGGTTGCAGGGTTAGAAATTTGACTGCCTACTTAAAGCACCTTGCATGAGAGGGAGCCTGGTTAAAATGGTCTGCCCACAGAGGCTCATGAATCCTACTGGATTCCAGAATGCTCTGGGGAATTTAGGATCTCAAACACATGTTCAGCTGAGACTACAGTGGGAGCATGGAACACGAAGCTTCTTAAAGCTATCAACAGGTTGCCCCTCTATGGCCACTCACACTCCTGGAGCATAAACTGCCCCCCTGGTTTACCATGGAACTGGGTGACCTGAAGAGGGCTGGGAGACGTCCAGTATGATGCTGGACGACCTATGAAGCAGCAGTGATGGCAGTAAAAATGTTACTACTTTGCTACCATAGCATCAGCTAGTCTGCAATCATCTTGATTGTTCAAGGTAGCTCAGCAACTGCTGATGCCAAAATCTGAGCTTGTATCATCTCATTTTTGCCAGATTTTTTGCTGAAATATCAAGAACATGCCTTGATCTGGATATCAGTTGTAACTAAGTAACACTCAAGACCTGGTTGTTGTTCAGTCGCACAGTCGAGTCCGACTCTTTGCAACCCCATGGACAAGATCTTGCCAGGTCCTCCTGTTTTCCGCCGTCCTCTGAAGTTTGCTCAATTTCATGTTCGTTGCATCCATGACACTGTCTAACCATCTCATCCTTTGCCGTCCCCGTCTTCTTTGACCTTCAATCTTTCCCAGCATCAGGGTCTTCTCCAGTGAGTGTTCCCTTCTCATTTGGTGGCCAAAGTATTTGAGCTTCAGTTTCATTATCTGGCCTTCCAGGGAACAGTCAGGGTTGATTTCTTTTAGGATTGACTGATTTGATCTTCTTGCAGTCCAAGGGACTCTCAAGAGTCTTCTCCAGCACCATAGTTCAAAAGAATCTATTCTTCGGCACTCGGCCTTCCTTATAGTCCAACTCTCGCAGCCATACATGACTACTGAAAGACTATTGAAAGAGGTAGTCAATCTTTAAAGGTACAATTGTGGTCTTAGGGTACTGTCTCAGTGATGATCTGGTTCTTATAGATCCACATGGGTCAATGCAGGGGTAATTCATGAGGACAACCAGATGGATTTCACCTAGAGAACTGGTGTTGAGTAGTCACTAGAAGAAAGGCCAGAAGTAAGGCCTAATACACCACCTGTTCTATTTAGGGATCATTTTGACCTGGTTTCTGTGCTGGATGTTGACAAGATCCTGGGATCGGAAAAGGCCACTACTTGTACTTTGGATCCTTGCCCATCCTGGCTACTGATGTAAGCACCACATCAACAAACCCTTAGTATCTATTATAAATGAGTCATTATCTCAGGGCACCTTCCCTTGGCCATTTAAAGAGAAAGTTATCTGTCCACTACTTAAAAACCATCCCTACCGAAAAATGATGTGGCCAATTACCTCCTAGTCTCGAACGTGTCCTTTCTGGGCAAAGATATTGAGAGAGCACTAGCAGACCAACTCCAGGTCTTCCTGGATAATTCATCTGCTCTAGACCCTTTTTAGTCTACCTTCAGGCCAGGCTATGGGAGAGAGATGGCTCTGCTAGCTTTAGTTGCTCTCCGTCTATACAAAGGCCATGCCTCTTTGTGGTTCTTATTGGACTTACTGGGAACCTTCAATACAGTAGATCATACCATCTTGTTGAGATGCTTGGAGGCAGAAGTAAGTATCAGAGAATGTGCACTGAACTGGTTCAAATAATTTCTCACGGATTGGACTCAAATGGTTGCTATTGGAAACCAGTTATCAGTTATGGGACCTAATGTGTGGTGTTCCACAGGTCGCAATCCTATGCCCTATTCTTGTTTATTGCAGTATAAGCATTTATTCCAAAAGGAGGGGGAGAAGAAAGCACACTATGTTCATTATTATGTTACATATGAACATCTGTATAAAAATGTAATAGAAGACGGAAGAACTGCATGGGGTTGACACAGGTGAAGCCAGAATACCTCCCTGAGTGTTCCACAATAAGACAAACTCACTGAACGATCTAAATTTACACCTTTTGTATTCAATTGTTGATTTCATCTCCTCGCAGTGCAATCCTATGTGGAGGTACTCTAGTCTAAGGCCACTGAAAGGTATTGGTTTAAACTAGACTAGCGGCACAGGAGTGCACTGCAAGTTGCCAGAGAACATTCCTGCCCATGGCTTGCTTTTAAACTGTTGATTAGTTCTTTGCAATCCTGCTGTTTCTCATAAAAAAGATGGTGCAACCAGCACACAAAATGAGACTTCTTTTAGTAACTTGCAGTTTTCACATACAGAACAAACTATAATTGTGATTCACTATAACTGTGATCCACATTACACGCGCAGGTTGCCCCCTCTTCTGGTAAAAAGTGGTATACACAACAGTTGCTAGAGAACTGTTTTACCAAGTAGGAACTCTGGAACGCCAGTGAAAATTGCAATTATCCCATGCTCACTCTTCCATTAGAAAACAGAATGGAGAACTTTAGCTAAAGAATACAGCTGATCACACGGTGACCTTGGACCAGTCACTGTTTATCTAACCCATTTCACATGGTTGTTTTGAACATAAAATGGACAAAGAGACAAATGAACCTTGTTCATTGTTCCTCTGTTCCTGGAGAGAAGGGCGGGCTAAAAATGCAACCAACCAGCCAATTATCACTGCAGACAAATATATGCTGCAGCATAGGGCAGGCTGTCTTAGCTCTGGTCACAAATTATTCCATTTATTTAAAAATGAAGAATTTGTTTTCTGACAATGATCCTCAGACCAGAACATGGCAAAATAAAATAGCAATTACAATTTCAACAAATTTTCAAACTACATCTCCTGACCATCTAAAACTGTGAGAAGACCCTCAGATTTCAGCGAGTGAAAGTTCAACATTTCATTATGATGGTTGTGTAAAAGACTATTTCATGGAGTATTAAAACTACATAATCTCAAATTGTGTTTGAGATGACAATTCTATGTGCACAGCCTTGGGGATTAAACTCCACTAAGAATGAGTTTTGCTTTTGAGTAAGCACACCCAAGTTTGGACTGGTATAGAACACAATCTCTCCAGTTTTAAACGATAATACTCAGTGGATCAAGTGAAGATTTGGGAAGAAGAAGAAAAGCCGTATTTGGATTTTTGCAGTACCACAGAGTACTATGAGACTTTTTTAAAAAACGGCTTTCCTGCAATTCCAATAACTGGTCGTGATTAAAGCAAGATCCCTGAAATAATACAAGTGGAGAGGAACACGAATTGCAAAACAATGATCGTAAATTAATTTAGTTAGTAATTTCTGCTGAGTTACTTCCTAGTGTGGCTACAATCCTAAACATACAGACCTAGGGAAATAAACTTCCTAGGCCCAGTTACTCCTCAGCAGTCCTACAAAACCTTATCGACAACAATACTTAGAAGTCCCACAGATTTCAAAGGACTCGCGCCCCAAACAGCACAGGAATCACCGCCTAAAAGAGCTATAAAATATAGCAGAAAACACACATTCTGAACACTGCGCAGAAGTCCTAGCACTCCCTGACAATCCCCTCGCTTGCTTTCTCTACCCCCGTAAAATCTTCCGATTTTTTTGATGAAACTCCCCTTATTCTCGCCCGTCGTTCAAGATTCCGCAGCTCACCCCCGCAGCCGGCCTCAATGGTTTTGCCCTCCCCAATCAACCAATGATTGCTCATTTCTAACGCTTTCTCTGTTCGCGCGTGCGGTCCCTCTCCCATGGTCTCGAATGGTTTCTCCTGGCTCGCTGGTTTGTTCGGCGCCTACACGGAGCGTGACGTTCCCGACCAGTCCTTTCCCAAGATGGCTGCTCCTGTGCCGGCTCCGGCTGAGAGCTGGCTTCGCACGCGGGATGTATTTGTGCCGGAGGATCCCGGAGATTTCGGGTCACTTCTGCTGTCGGCTCCGGTGCTGGAAGGGCTGCGAGCCGCGGGGTTTCTAAGGCCTTCTCCAGTGCAGCTCAAAGCCATACCGTTGGGGCGCTGTGGCCTCGGTGAGGGCGGGCTTTTGGATCTGGGACAGACAGGGAGCATTGCCGCTCGGAGGGGGGTGGGTTAGGGTCGGTGTCAGAAATGAGGTCAAGATCCGAGTCTCGGTTTGAGGGTAACCGTTCTCCTTTTGGTGATGCGTAGGCGTAATAACCATGTAGATTTGATTGGCGCACCTTTTTAGGGGTTGTTGACAAAGCCATACTTAATCTCCGGGTTTTAAACCGCTTCATTTGTTAGGTTTAATATTTTATAATCTCATTTGTTGAGCTAAAACTGGTTCTCAAAACTGGTTGCATTAGTTAAAGGTACGGTACTTGTGATAGATAGAGTTAAAATAAGCTTTAGGTCCGTGAGCTAGGAGATAAAATACACAAGGGGAGGAGAGTACAGAGAAGGAAAGATAGCTTTGTGACAGTTCCAGAATGAAATGAATATTTACATCTGATCTTGCTTTGCTGGTTTCTTTGTCATGATGGAGGTAGTGTAGTGTACCTGCTTTGAGTAATCTGTTAGAAACATGGGTTAAAACTACCCAGTTGCACCTTGGCTGTCTGTAGACAGTAGAAGCAATAATGGCCTTTCCTTCAATGCTGCAAACAAGTCACGGGGCAAATGGTAGTTGGAGCTGAGGTCCCCCCCCCAATAGGAATGGAGGGAAGCAAGATTAGACTGATTTATCTGTCAGAGAACCCATGCATGTTGTTGGAAGCATTAGGGTTAATGTTCATGTGGGACACTTAGAAGATGTTCATGTGGGACACTGCCATACTATGACATCTTAGTGTACATCTAACATACTGCTATGGTTGCACATTGCTGAGAAAATTAGTAGTGGATGAGCTGTCGTCTGAAGGAAGCATCTCTTCTGTTACTGATCATCTTATTTTTGATCCCCTGAAAACAACTTCATGATTTATGAAGCTCTGTTGTCCTGGCTGCCCTGAAGTGATCTCTTGGCTGCTTCCTGAACTGGATCCTTTCTGTCTCTTCCAGATCTTATTGTGCAAGCAAAGTCTGGCACAGGTAAAACCTGCGTCTTCTCCACAATTGCACTTGACTCTCTTATCCTGGAAAGCCCAGTTACACAGGTAGGAAAGCATACTTGTATAGGAAATACCCAAGTCTTTTATTAGACCACTAAATCAACCTGCCTGCCCATGTGTATCTGTGTCGCTTATTTGGTAAACAGTGGTGGCCTAAAACAACATCTTTCACATTTTCAGTTTGTAAATGGTTCTGTGCCTCACGGTAATTCTTACTCAGAACTCAAGTGTTATACTTTGTTTATTTGATTTCAGTGTTTATATGACAACTCTTCAGAGATCTGCTTGAAATGGCTAATAACATAAAAGATAATAACAGTATTTAAAATAATTGATACTATTTGGCAGTTTTTCAGAAGTGCTAAACTTTTGGAATTGAAGTCAAAACTGAAATTGTCTGTGTTCTTATGCCATGTCCATTTAGAACTCTGAAGTTCTATATTGTAGGGCCAGATCCATTTCATATCAGTGGTGAAACTGATCATGGTTCTTCAGCACAAACAGTACCATTTTTTTTTGCCTCCATCCCAACAAGCCAGTGCCTTGCAAACCATGTGAAGTGAAAGCCACTTCTAAACTTACTGTATTTCTGGTAACTCACTTGTAAAGTAGCTATGCTTATTTATCTTTATTTAAAACATTTCCATTTTGCCCTTCCACCCAATCCAGGCTCCCCCAGGTGGTGAACATGAAAACACTTCAGGCATAAAAACATTTTGGACATTAAAATGCATTTAAAATACAAATACATATAAAATTATTAAAAACACTTTTAAAAAAACTTTACTTTTCCACTACTACATAGCCTATTGCTCACTAATGCTGCATTTCATGGCCTTTTCACACATTATGCAGATATGAGCCCAAATTTGCCATTTGATCCTCTTGGAACCTCCCAAGTTGTCCCACCTCCTGACATCACAGCCTAGCTATAAGAAAGGAACCTCTTTAAAGTCCTGACCCATCTTATTTATCTTTATTTAAAACATTTCCATTTTGCCCTTCCACCCAATCCAGGGTCCCCCAGGTGGTGAACACGAAAACACTTCGGGCATAAAAACATTTTGGGCATTAAAATGCATTTAAAATGCAAATACATATAAAATTATTTAAAACACTTTTAAAAAAACTTTACTTTCCCACTACTACATAGCCTATTGCTCACTAATGCTGCATTTCATGGCCTTTTCACACATTATGCAGAGGTGAACCCAAATTTGCCATTTGATCCTCTTGGAACCTCCCATGTTGTCCCACCTCCTGACATCACCGCCTAGCTATAAGAAAGGAACCTCTTTTAAAGTCCTGACCCATGGATTGAGAGCCACAGCCTTCAAGCTGCTCTTTAAAGAAGCTTTTGTGAAAGTGATGTGTGCTAATTTGCAGTTCTCAAAGTAATGCTTGTTAAAAATTAAGAATTTACTATCTGATGGTATTAACTCAATTAAGAGGTCAGTTATTGATATTATGAGTTATATTCATAATGAGAATTTTGGAGGAATTGTCACATTTGTTGTCCCCATAATCCATTATCAGACTAATCTTCTTTATTTCAGATTCTAGTTTTGGCTCCTACCCGAGAAATTGCTGTACAGATACATGCAGTCATCACAACTATTGGGATTAAAATGGAAGGTTTGGAATGTCATGTCTTCATTGGAGGGACCCCTTTAAACCAAGACAAAATCAGGCTGAAGAAGTGTCACATAGCAGTTGGCTCCCCTGGTAAGAGCATAAGTCATCTAATGTATTTATCTGTATTTTTAGTGATGCAGTATCTGGTGCTACAGAAACTGACGTGTATTTGATATCCTGCAGCTGCAGGAAATAAATTGTGTGACATTTTTAGCAGGGTGCTATTTTAAAATGTTTTTCCCAGATTAATAATAAAATACAAATACATATAAAATTATTAAAAACACTTTTAAAAAAACTTTACTTTTCCACTACTACATAGCCTATTGCTCACTAATGCTGCATTTCATGGCCTTTTCACACATTATGCAGATATGAGCCCAAATTTGCCATTTGATCCTCTTGGAACCTCCCAAGTTGTCCCACCTCCTGACATCACAGCCTAGCTATAAGAAAGGAACCTCTTTAAAGTCCTGACCCATGGATTGAGAGCCATAGCCTTCAAGCTGCTCTTTAAAGAAGCTTTTGTGAAAGTGATGTGTGCTAATTTGCAGTTCTCAAAGTAATGCTTGTTCAAAATTAAGAATTTACTATCTGATGTCAGTTATTGATGTTATGAGTTATATTCATAATGCTAATTTTGGAGGAATGGTCACATTTGTTGTCCCCATAATCCATTATCAGACTAATCATTATTTCAGATTCTAGTTTTGGCTCCTACCCGAGAAATTGCTGTACAGATACATGCAGTCATCACAACTATTGGGATTAAAATGGAAGGTTTGGAATGTCATGTCTTCATTGGAGGGACCCCTTTAAACCAAGACAAAATCAGGCTGAAGAAGTGTCACATAGCAGTTGGCTCCCCTGGTAAGAGCATAAGTCATCTAATGTATTTATCTGTATTTTTAGTGATGCAGTATTTGGTGCTACAGAAACTGACGTATATTTGATATCCTGCAGCTGCAGGAAATAAATTGTGTGACATTTTTAGCAGGGTGCTATTTTAAAATGTTTTTCCCAGATTAATAAATGGGCGGGTAGAATGCTCAGTTTTAGATTTAGTTGTTTCCATAAAGGCTTGAAAAACTAAAGTAATTGTTTTTATTGGCAGGTCGCATAAAGCAGCTTATAGAGTTGGACTATCTGAATACAGCCAGCATTCGCCTTTTCGTTCTTGATGAAGCAGACAAGCTTCTGGAAGAAGGCAGTTTCCAGGAGCAAATAAAGTAAGAGTGTTCTAGTATTTATGCATTTATTTCTAATATGATTTGAAATGTTTACTTTGAATCCTACTTTTTCGCTTTTCTCCCTCTCTCCCATCTAGTTGGATTTATTCTTCTCTGCCAGCCAACAAGCAGATGTTGGCTGTTTCAGCCACCTATCCTGAATCCTTGGCTAATACTTTAACTAGATATATGAGAGATCCCACATTTGTGAGGTTGAATCCCACTGACCCAAGTCTTATTGGTATGTATGTTTGTGTTCTTTGATCACTAATTTACCCTTATCAACCAAAGCATCAATTTCAGCTTCAGATTCAAGAGCTTGTATGTGTGTATAATCCCAGTGAGGCAATATTTCTGATTAATGTGTTTAAAAATTGAAAAATATAGTTGTTGGGTCAACAAATCTTAAATAACGTTTTCGTTGATATGTAACTGAATGTTTGACCTATTACTGTTTGTTTAAAGTAAACATCCAAAACAATACCAATGGCTCCCAACTCAGGAGCAGTATTAGGCAAGTACCTGTCTCTCCCTTTTTCTTTAGATAATTTTCTGCTGTGCACATTATGTATTGTGCGGCTTTGCGTATGACTGAACTAGAAATCTAGCTGCAACTGGCTTTCAGCCTGATCTGAAATACACTGACTCAGTGTTGTTGTTTTCAGTTGGGAATTGCAGCCTTGCAGAAGGACAGCAAGCATATTTACTCAGAATAAACAATAAGTTCCGCAGGACTTATCCCCAAGTAACTATGCATAGGATTGGAGCCTTAGTTTCCTGACTCAGTTTCTAATGCATACTTCTAGTGGAATTGAACGTATTAATGCATGGAATAGCAGCACCCAAAATAATGTATAGCAGAGTGTAGGGGGGAGACTGAGACGGCAGTCCTAGGGCTTGAAAGCACTTCCTGCCCTTTCCTTTAGGTTCCAGGCTCAGACAATACTAAGCTCACAGTAGTTATCTTCCTCCACATCTTTATATTGCTATGCCTCCATCTGACCTGAGATTTCAGTGAGGTTTAAAAGGCCACAATGGGTGATGCATTTTCACTGCCTGAAATTTCCTCAAAAAGAGGACATAGTATCTATAAAAGGCAAAAAATCTTTTTTTATTACATGCTTTTTCAAGTTGTGTCACTACTTGATTTTTATAATTAAATGTTTCTCCACAAAATCTCCAAGTCTGAATTTTAGTAAATTGGATCCTGTGATTCCATCCTGCTAAAAGCAGCACTTTCAGTGTGTAAAAGTAGCTTCAGGAGGTGCTTTCTGCTGATAAGGAAGAGTCTTGATGCTATGGGAAGTCTTTGATTTTAGCATAATGTAATAATAGGATCCAGCCCTGTGTTTTTTGAAGAGCTGTGTTGTTTAATCTTGGTTAATCATGGAAACAAATAGATACTTAGGACAGGGTATACTATGCCAGTACAATATAATTTATAACCTGATTTAGGCAAGTTTATTGGTGCAAACACTTCTTTATTGGTGCAAACACTTCTTAATTGGTAAGTTTCTATCCTGCCTTTTCTTTAAGGAACTTTTGTTTATGTTCAGGATAATCAGTCCCATCTCATCTTTAATTTTTTGGGTAGGATTGAAGCAGTACTTCAAAGTTGTGAATTCTCATCCATTACCACATAAGACATTTGAAGAAAAGGCGCAGCATTTACAGGAACTCTTCAGCAAGATTCCCTTCAATCAGGCTTTGGTCTTCTCAAATCTACACAGTCGGTAAATTTCTTCGCCCCCATTTTCAGTAAGGAGGTGGAAAGTGCTGTCAAATTGCACCTGATTTATGGTGACCCTGTAGGGTTTTCAAGGCAAGAGATGTTCGGAAGTGATTTGCATTGCCTGCCTCTGTGTAGTGACCCTGATATTCCTTGGTGATCCTCCCATCCAAATACTAACCAGGGCCAACCCTGCTTAGCTTCTGAAATGTAAAGAGAGTGGGCTAGCCTGGGCCATCCAGGTCAGGGCATTTTTAATGTAGACTAGCTTAAAAATGGATTCTATTTTTAATGTAGACTAGCTTAAAAACGGATTCTAAATATTCACCCAACACTGCTTCTGTTTTGTAATGGAACACTCATGATACTGAGGATGCAAGAATGTTGAGTTATTGTTGTAAGACTGAATAAGGTATATCAAGTTTAGGACATTGTATAAAGCTGAGCTTGAAAAACGAAACATTAGAAAAAGTTTGATCTTGAAAAGGTGGAGTTCTGCTTTATCTTCATTGTTATGTACTTAAAAAAACCCAAGAGTTCATCGTATACACAATTAATAAAGTAGGAGAGTAAAAAAGATATCTTATTAGGGTCCAGCTATGTAGTTACATCTTATTGTGCAAGGAATAATATTAGTTTTACTAATCTAAGAGTCTATATTTTCCTAAAAAAAGTTTCTATTCTGCTGTCTACTTTTGCCAGGCAGTTTGGGGAGAATGGATCGAGGGAAAACTTGAACTGTTATGCTCTCTCTGTCTCTCTTTAGAGCTCAGCACTTGGCGGATTTACTGACATCTAAAGGTTTTCCTGCAGAATGCATTTCAGGCAAGTCTGTAGGCCAGGGAATCTCCAGTCTTGTAGAGACTATGGGCACTTTTGGAATTTTGAGAACTGTTAGTGGGTGCAACTACAAATGGCTGCAATGAAGAGGCAAAACCAACAACAAAATGGCTGCCGTGGGAGCTTGAATTGATCACAGAATGTTGGGAAGTTCCAAGCTAAACCTTCCTGTGCTTAAAGGATTATTCTCATATTTATTACTGAAGTTTTGCATTAAAAGTTTCCAAATTATGCTCTGTTCTCAGCATGTACACTAAATAAACGAGAAATGTACCTGAGGGGGTGGACAAATGTTGACTCTGTTTTGGCTCTGATCAAGCACTGAACAACACAGTAAATTACTCTAATGACTTGCCTAGTGATTTTTTTCCCTTTGGTGCTTGATCATTCTGACTTTGTTTCTCTAGGCAGTATGAATCAGAACCAGAGACTTGATGTCATGGCTAAACTAAAGCAGTTCCATTGCAGAGTGTTGATTTCTACTGATTTGGTGAGGTTTTCCTTTGAACTAGTCAAACATATGGACATGCATCCTGTGGAGCATGTATGTAAGGATGCATGTGGACATGGTTCTTCCCTGCATTCCCCACTAGCTTTGACCTTCAAAATACTGGAGGTTATACAGCTCACATGGAAAAAAGGCTGTGTAGCCTGTGGGCAAGGGGAGCAGCAGTGAGGAGGGAAACCAGGCTGGCACTGATCCTTTGCCAATGGAATATTGAGCATCAGTGAAAGTATCACTGATGGAAGAAGAAGTGGATAACAGTTTTTGTCTGGTTCTTCTCCTCACTGAAGTTGCATGGCTTTTGGTCCTTCTTAGCCCCGCAACCTCCAAGCATCCATAATGTAGAGGTCTTGGGAGACGTCTGGGGGAGGGCAGGAAAGAACTGTTGTCATAAGCATCCTTTTGAGCATGCTCGTGGAATCTCTGATTTATATTTAACCTGGGTCAAAATCTAGAGCCAGGATGACTACTGGCATTTTTGTGGGCTCTATGAAAGACATTATATTTCTCTGTAGAAGTTGATTTTATATCACTAAATGTGTGCTTCTCTTGTGCTCAAATATCTTTAAATCAAAAGGGAGATATATTGAGTACTCTTATTTGAAGACAATGGATTGAAAGTACTACTCATTGGCTGCGTTCACACACACTAAATAATCCACTTTCAATCCACTTTTAAACTGGATTTTTACTGTGTGAACTGGCAAAATCCAGTTGGAAAGTGCATTGAAAGTGGATTATTCAGTGTGTGTAACCGCAGCCATTTTCTGTTTTCTTGATTCTGATGCTTTACACATAGGGAGCATTTGTACATCACCTTTTCTACCAATAGCAGCACTCAAGGTAGCTTACAGAACTCATGTTCTGCAGTCTGTTCTCTGTCATGTAATCAAATCATTTCCCACTATGACTTGTACAAAATTTCTTCCAAGTAAAAACTTAGGATAGAGCATTCTGTACCCTGCCATCTGTAATGCTTGTTTTAAAAAGTCTTGTTGAAGGAGATCCAGAGAAAGTGTGTCCTTTCAGCCGCATTAAAAGTAATAAGGTATAACCCACAAATTATGGTCTTGTATCCCACTGCAATGTGCCTTAAATATACATGGCTTCTAGGACTGAACCCACTGATTTTAATGGAGCAACACTGAAGTAAGCTTCTTGAAGAATGCCACCATCCATTTTAGAGATCCTTCCTGAGCTATAGAACAAATGAGTTCCCCACTCCTCCACTTGCAGCTGCTGGATGACCTTGGGCAAGCCATAGTTCTGACAAGAGCTGTCCTTGAAAGAGCATTTCTCTCAGAGCTCTCGCAGCCCCACCTACCTCACAGGGTGTCAGTTGTGGGGAGAGGAAGGGAAAGGAGTTTGTAAGCCGCTCTGAGACTCCGAGTGAAGGGCGGGGTATAAATCCAATCTCCTCTTCTTTGTATCCTGATACATTTTTGTCTTTTTGTTTGTCCAGAACTAGGGAATCTGCAGTTTTTATTCATAGTTGGAATAATTGGTCTAAATCGATCCCTTTTCTGATGTGCTTTACTTGACTGTTGTTCACCTTTTAAAATTCCTTTGACTTTTTGCCTCCCTTCTTGCCCCCTCTTGGCTATTAGACATCACGTGGAATTGATGCTGAGAAGGTGAACCTAGTCATTAACTTAGATGTGCCTTTGGACTGGGAGACATACATGCATCGCATTGGCAGAGCTGGACGCTTTGGTAAATGCTGCTTTGACAGTGTGATATGCAGTGGCAGGTGGTGGGTCCGCAACTCCCTGGTAACTTACTATTCTCTCCTTTGCTGTAGGAACTTTAGGACTGGCGGTGACTTATTGCTGCCGTGGGGAGGAAGAGAATGTGATGATGAACATTGCACAGAAATGTAACCTTCGGCTTCTTCCTTTACCAGGTATAATGTCTCTTTATGTGGGAGCTTGTGGCTTGAATTTGAACCATGCCATTATAAACAGCAGCAGTGTAGGTGTCTTAGAGTTAATCAGGCCCTTAATTAATCACTCAGGCATAGTCCTGTTATTTTGAATGATAGTGGCTTGTGAGTCTTCTCCTGAGTGTAAGTGTGGAATTGATTTCTGGGGAACTGTACATTGATTCTTAGTTGTTAAAAAGCCCTGCAACGTTACAGCAGTTAACATGATGAAGAGCATAATAATTAAGACACGAAATAAATAAATTAGAAGTATGTGCAATGCCATTAAAATTTCTCCTTGAGCTGTGTCTTTCAACAGATCTCAGCCGTTTCTAAGGGGAGGAAGGGCATGGGAGATGTCTAATTATTTCCCTTCCTGACCTTTTCTTGCAGAAATCACACACAAGCTGTTTTTACAGTTGAAGAAAAACTGTCTCATCCCCTCACCTGTCCACCCCTTAAATTGCAGCCCCTGTAAATGTGGTTGGGGAGAGGTAACTCATGTAAAATAATCATGGCACTACACACAATGTGTAATTTTGCTATTATCACCTTCACATTGGTAAGAGCTTTTTACTGCAAGGATCTTCTGGGGTATTCAAATGAAAGATAGGTGGAATAGGAGGGAGTTCAGTAGCCCTTTTCAAAGGTTGCAGAGGTGAAGCAACAAATCACCACATCTACCCTAAAAGGGGCAAGAAACTGTTTTTAAATGACAGGACAACAGGTTTAGGAAGCTCTTCCTACCCAACTGTAAGAGGAGTACTGGAATTGAATACCCTGTCTAGGTAGGTAGGTTGTAAGTTTCTTTTGGAGGTTTTCAAAGTAAGGCATATGTCAAAAATATCTCCCTGTTACGTATTACATTTCTATCTTGCCCTTTGTCCAAAGAGCTCAGGGCAGTGTGCCCCCCCAACTCTGTTTTTCCTTGCAATACACCTGTAAAGTGGGCTGGATTGAATGGGTTGGAATGAAAGGGTATAACTAGTTCAAGGTGGGCTTCATAGCTGCATGGGGATTTGAACCTACATATTTTGGGTATATGGTAAAATGTTTTGAAATAGAGGCTTTGGGTTATATTATTTTTGGTTATCTTCAGTCTCTGATTGTTCTACAATACTGTGTAAGCTCACTTACGTTTTGGTCACATTCTGACTTGGTTCCTAAGTAGTGCAAGTGAAGGTCTCCCTGCTCTCCCTGCAGCCTTGTTTGCCCCTCTGCCCAGTCAGGAATAGGGTGGGAGGACAGACTGGGAGTCTGCAGGGCGGGGGGGGGGGGGGGGGGAGATCTGCCATGTCATCAGAGGAACTGCTGTGTCGATCAAACAGTGCCATAGTATTCAAGCCCTTGTGTTTATCTTCTTTCTTGCTTTTTTACCTCAAACGGTAAGAGAAACGTGGGGTGGGAGAAGTAAGCAGATGTGTTAAGAGTTGAAAAACTGAAGTATTTTGATGGATGTGGTGATAATACCTTAAAATTCTTGCAGTCTGTGCTACTCTTCACTGGTGGTGTTTTTCTTTCTTGAAGAACCTGTGCCTCCTGATTTGATGGACCAGTTTGAAGACTGGGATGTAGAAGTCACTGCTGTCCCGTATCCCAATGCTTCATTGCATGCTGCTCTGCCAGCTAAGCAACCAGAGGGGACAGTGCAGCACACGGCAGGGGACAGCAGTGCAAAGGAGTCCTCTGTGATTGCTGGTGAAAATCTTTCTGTGCCTAAGCCAAAACAGGCCCTCAAACAAAAACAGCTGCTCAAAAGTAGAGCAGAGCAGAGCAACACAAAGAGAACCACCAAGGACCAGCAATCTTCCCAATGCACTGCAGAGCCGAAATGGCAACTAGAACCTGGTGTCCAAACTAGTGGGCAGCAG